CACTCTTTCATTATTCATTGGGACAAAATTAAGTATCTAAAAGACTCGAATTTGTGGCCCGGGCACAAGCGGTTCAAATTATGGCTTCCCACATGTTTGTATGCATGTTTATTTATTGTATTTGTAGTTATTAAATGATTCATGATTGAAAAAATTGTGTATGTTAAGTGAAAAATAGAATTGTGTTTTTAATCTTGTGGTACGAGCTTTAATATTATGTTTTACTATATATATGAATTAAATCTCATCGGATTATTATAATCAAGTGTATGTTGTGTATAAGACATTGTGATATATGATGAGGATGAATAATAAAGATGAATTTATCATGTAATTTTGATATAATGGAGAATTTTAAGTACAAGCCATGTAATATATCATCTAAATGTATATTGTGAGTATTTGGACATACTATTGAGTTTAATTGTATTTTTTAGGAAGGGAGTGTAAGGCACCTATTAGGGTTGAATTTTTATTATTCAGATGTATATAAATCAGGCTAGGCTGCATTATGGTTTTGTATTGAGATATTCATATATTTAAACCATTGTGTTTTAATATAATGAATTTTTTTTTAAAGATTGTGTACCTAGCCACTTGGTCTTATACCACCAATAATATCGTCTTGAAATAGCATTCTTGCGTGCCCGAAAACAAAAATATTTCAAGATCTAATTTTTGCAAATCGTACCATTTTTTACCCCCATTTCATCCACACAAAGTCCAACATATAGAACATAGATAATAATGCTATTTGATAATAATCAAAAAAGAAAAAGAAAATCACATTTTCAGTTATTTATAATAATACAAAAAAATATCCCTGGAAGCACAGTCCAAACGTGATGTATAGAGGGCATCCACTTGCATAAAAGCAAAGATGGGAAATTCTTATTTATTTGCCGTGCTGCTGCATGTTTCATAGTGGATCCTTTCCCCTAGAGGGTCCTTATTAGGATCCAAGCAACCCTATCTCGATCCACCTCAGGCTGTCCTCAGCCATATGCTAATACCAAATCAAATTATTTAAGTTTGCACATAGCATAGCTTGTTCTATACTTGGCCACTGCTTTAGCCAAAATATAAGCCCCTCTCTCTCTCTCCC